AGGAAGGAAAGAAACTAGGAAGGAACGAACGAAAGGAGGGAGAGAGGAAGGAAGGCAGAAGAAAAGGAAGGGAAGGAGGGAAAGAAAGAAGGGAGGGAGAGGAAGGAAGGTAGAAGGAAAGGGAGGGAGGGAAGGAAAGAAACTAGGAAGGAACGAAGGGAAGGAAAGAAGGAAACTAGGGAGGGAGGAAGAGAAGAAGGGAGGTAGAAGGAAATAAAGGGTGGGAAGGAAGGAAGGAAAGGAAGGAAGGAAGGGAGAGAGGAAGGAAGGAAGGAAATCAAACAAATAAATATTAAGAAATATATGGGTGATTTCCAGACTTCTTGTCAACAGATCATTAGAATTGAATTGTTCCTCCTTCCTCATGAATATTATACATACCTTTTGTCCTTCATTTAATCTTATGTTTTTCTCAATCTTCGAATCCAGAGATCGTTACGCCATTTCCTTTTTTCTTTCACGAAAAGTCCATACAGACACTGCTCAATTTACAACAGTTCATTTAAGCGACCGTTCAAAGTTACAACTTCACTTTAGAAAGCAACTTATGACCACTTTTCACACTTATGACCGTTGCAGCATCCCCATAGTTAACATGATCAAAATGCAAGAGGGGTTGGCGACTGACTCCTATTGAAGACCTTTGCGGTGTCCCTGAGGTCAAATGATCCCCTTTTGGGGAATCCAGATTCACTTAACAATTGTGGCAAGAAAGGTCGTAAAACGGAGCAAATGTCACTGAACAAATGTTTCACTTAGCAACAGAAATATTGGTTGCAAGTCAAGGACTACCTATATAAGGTTTCCAGCCTTTCAGACCAGGTTTTATTGAGATTTTGTGTGTGCAGGGTGTTTGTTTTTCATTGCATGAAGTATACACCCCCTAACCAGGGAAGCGTTTTAATAAATCTCCCCACTTAATTCGATATATTATGATTAACTTCTGCTGAGATGTGAGATATTAGCAGGCCCAAAAACCGCAACAGAAAGCAGAAACCACATATTTAAATTGAAAAACGCACAGAAAGAATTCAGATAGTCCTTGACTTACATCTACAACCGAACCCCAAATTACTGTGGCTGAGAGAGACGTTTGGGACCTCTGCCCTCTTTTACAATCTTTCTTGCAACAGCTGTTAAGCGAATCACTGCCGTTGTTAAGATAGCCACATGGTCATTAAGTGAATCTGGCTTCCCCTTTGACTTGGCTTGTCAGAAGGTTGCAAAAAGAGGAGTCACATGACCCTCCCGAGATGCTGTGACCGTTGTAAATATGAAACAGTTGGCAAGCATCTTGAGTTTGGCTCACGGGACCATGGGGATACTGCAATGGTCGTAAGTGTGAAAACAGTCATAAGTCGCTTTTTTCAGTGCCGCTTTAACTTTGAACGGTCGCTAAACAAACCGTTGTAAATTGGGGACTACCTTTATAACCTTGCTGGATTCACCAAGGGAACTCCCCCACCCTGCATCTAAATGCTTCTTCAAGTCCCCTCCCTCAAAGGGTCATTCCTTCCTTCTCCACTCTCTAGGCTACTATGTCCACCAGACTTCACCAACACTTTGGACAGATATTTTGAAGGATCTTTATGGGAATATAGTCAGCACTGATTTTAGGATGTGTTTGGGTCAGTTCCTAGGCCTGAACCAGGTGCAGGTATCTACCAGAAAGTCAAAAAAGTCAAAATGCCAGCCCTGGTGATTCAATAATATATAGGCAATCCTTGACTTACCACAGTTCATAGAGTGACCATTCAAAGTAGAAAGGGCACGGAGAAAACAGACTTACGACCATTTTTCCCACAACCATTGCAGCAGTGCAACGGTTACGTGATCCAAATTCGGACTCTTGACCACTGGCTCATATTTATGCAGCGTCCCGGGGGTTGTGGTGGTCATGGGATCCCCTTTTGCGACCTCCTGACAAGCCAAGTCGATGGGGAAGCCCAGACTCACTTAAGGACCATGTGACTAATTCAACAACCGTAATGGTTCGTTGAACAACGGTGGCAGGAAAGGACATGAAATGAGGCTAAACTCATTGAACAAACATCTCATTTAGCAACAGAAATGCTGGGCTCAATTGTGGTCATAAGTTGAGGACTACCCGTATTGAAAAAAAAAAGTAAGATATGTCTATTTTTCATGATGATTGGTGCATTGTTGCAATTGGTCAATTGATCAAAATTCAGATGCTTGGCAACTGACTTGTATTTATGACGGTTGCAGGGTCCTGGGGGGAACATATGATCCGCTTTTGTGACCCTCTGACTAATAAAGTCAATGGGGGAAGCCAGATTCACTTAACAACCGTGTTATTAGTAACTTAATTACAATGACTCGCTTAACAACGGCTTAGCAATGGAAATTTTGCTCAATTGGGGTCAGAAATAAAGGACTGCTTAGTTGTCCCTACCATTGTTTGACCAACTCCCACTGGACTTTTGCCAGATGTCTCTCTCCCTTCCTACTTGGAAATCAATCAACCAACTTCCAGCTAATTTGGGATTATAAACCACAAATGGCTGGTTATTCTCATCCCATTGATATAACCAGGTTTGGTGCCCAGCTGTAATTTTATACAAAAGAAAATGCAGGGAGAGAATTAAAATAAGATGAGGGGGAAAAAACCAAGAAAGGCTGCAGATATTTTGCAATCCCCTTAAGATCTATTTCTTTCTTTTTTCTTCAATCAAACAGGTAAAAGCTGAGAATATCACCCAAAGAAGTTCATGAGGATTAGAATATCAATTATATTGATTACAACAGTGTTGCTTCTGTTGTAGCGGAAGACTGGACGTGTCAATAAAAAGTCCGAGCTGAAGTCAGAAGAAAAGATTCATTTGAACAAACTTGTGCAAACTTTGTTTCATTTCTCAAAAAAAAAAGAAGAGAGAAAGAGGGAAAGAAGGAAGGAAGGAAAGGAAGGAGGGAAGGAAAGAAAAAAGAAAAAAAAAGAATATTAAGAATTGCATGTCAAGCGACAAATATAACAAGGGTTTTGGCATTGAGAGATAATCTGTATATCTATCTAAATATCTTCCAGAACAAAAAAATTGTTCTACTATGCAGTACATATGACAGCATCTCTGATCAAAGAATTGTCTGCCTTGAAAAGTGAGCCATTCGAGGTCAGTTTCAAAAATTCATAAACGGCTGGACTTTGCATTCTTCAAACACGATGAAAAGGATATTGAGGAAATGTTAATCAGACTTGCTCAGTGGGGGGGAAAGTTTGTGAGCTGACCTCATTGTTACGCTTTTCTTCCCAGGAAGTCGATTTGTCTACATGGCCCTGGAGAGAAAAGGGTACCACCAGGTGATGGAACCAACCGGTTAATTCGGTTCCAAACAACACACAGCAAACAGGAGTTTTCTTAGGAAAGGCTCAAAACTCAGGTGCAGATGGCATCCGAGGAGAGAGACGTTTGGGAAGGTGCAGGCAATCCAAAGATGGTTAAAGGTCCGTGGGGAATTCAGAATAAAAAGGAAATAGAGATAAGTCCACCATGGAACTTTTCTATGGAAGAAGATCTGGCTCTACATTTGGGGTCACTCGGTGGGAAAAAAAACCTGGATACAGCCGAACAAAAACACTCGCCGAAGAAATATTCCAATTTTCCCCTGGAATTTCAGCCAGAGGAAGAAGCAGAGAATATTGAAATACATGCCAGTTGCTTAGCGGGTGCATCCCAAATCGGCATCAAAGAGGAGGATTTAGAGCACCCCGAATATGAGTGGGCCCTGTGCCAAAACTCTGTCCCGTTCCTGTCTCAAAGGATCAAAAAGGAAGCCAACGCCAACCCTCCCCTCGATTCAGAGTTTGGGGAGAACATTGACCCGCCCTCAGTATTCCTCAAAAGGCGCCCCCCGACTTCCATGTTCACCAAACAGGACGGGGGCTTTGCCAAGTCCCAGAAAAATCTCCCCGTCCTCCTGGAAGAGCCGAAAGCAGAGAAAACGTTCCCCTGTCCCGTTTGCAGCAAAGAATTCAATCAGAAGTCTAACCTCACTCGGCACCATAAAATTCACACGACCGAAGGGTCATACAAGTGTGCCAAGTGCGGGGAAAGCTTTCGTATGAACCGGCAGCTGCTTCGTCACCAGCGGATGCACCTGAGCGACCCGTTCAAATGCACCGAGTGTGGGAAGAGCTTCAGCCGGAGGTCCAATCTCATCCGGCACCAAAAAATCCACACGCGGGAAGCGCCGTATCAGTGTCCCGAGTGTGAGAAAACCTTCAACCAGAAGACCAATCTTTTCAGACACCGGATGATCCACATCCAGATGGGGCCTTGCAACTGTACCAAGTGTGGGAAACTTTTCACGCAAAGAAAGTACCTGGTGAAGCACCAAAAGTTGCACCTGAGCGAGGGAGACCAAAAATGCTTCATTTGCGGGAAGCAATTTCGGCTGAAGAAATATCTCCGGCGACACCAGAAAATCCACAGCCGTGAGATGCCGAATATGCACGAAACTCAGATGGAGTGACCAGGCTTGGCAAGAAGAACTGGAATTGCAGGCGGATGGAAAACTCAGAACGGCAGGAAGGGCCGTCCTTGCTTAGCCACTGCCTCTTTTAGTGACCCTTCGTAGTTAACGGTGGGAAAGCGAAACAATCATTTTTTGGGGTGGCCAGTCTTCCATTCATAACCTTTACAGGTTTGTAAATCAAAGGAAAGCGGAAGGAAGATCATTAAGCACAGTCGTGATTTTACTTAGCAGTTGCTTCACTTAGCGACTGACAATTATGGTCGCTAAATGAGGACTGCCTGTAGACATATCTGGAGATGCGGACACCTGAGTGAAATAGGAAGGTTTCGTATGCTTAATTAATCACATTTGAAAAAAAAATCATAGGATCTTGCTTTTTGCAGTCTTGGGGGGCTTAAAGCAGCGTGTTTCGCCATGTGTGTGTGTGTGTGTGTGCTAATTCATAGGACTAATTTTGTGTGTGTTCTCCAGGAAAGCAGAAGGTGGCGCTAGAAGGAATAGAACCCGTGTCATTGTGAATTTCTGCCCTGTTGGGGGATAGAGAGGGCACCAACTTTCTAGTTGCCAAGATACTTTCAAAAGAAATGGGAGTTCCTAACTAATTCCATTTCTGTTGTTTATATGTTGTGACAGTTTCATTCTGCCAAACAATTTACCTCCTCCACTTCCCCTAAACAAGAATTGTGCAAAAAAAAATAAGAGAGGTTATATAAACTTGCTGGATTTGTGTAAGATGCCTAAGAAGGCTCCAGGATTGTTTTGGGTGGAAAGACACACACACCTGTATAATTTCCGTCGGAGTCTCAGCCCAATGACCCTGTCATTGAAGAGAAAGACGGTTCCTATTTCCTGTCATTTCTAGCCAACACGTCAGGTCTTGTGCGATAAATCAGGATCTAATTCTACTTTATTGTAAAGCTGCATTAACAGAATCTTGCAAGTCTGAAAGTGCAGGTCTCCTGCTGTCTTTTTTGAGCCTCTTTCTCTGTGCATTATGCAGATGTGTCATCAGTGGTGAAATACTACTGGTTCAGCACGGCTCGCCCAAACCAGTTGTAAAAAAAACCAAAAACTCCGATGACGATAAGAGGAGAAAGAAGAGAGAAAAGTACAACCTGCCTCTGCACTTTTCTGTTCTTTATTCTCTCCGCTGATTGGCGCGGCAGAACCTCAGCTGCTGTTTGGAAAGTTGTGCATGTACGTTAGGTGTGTGTGCACATACGCGCGAAGTGCACAATCACTGAACCGGTAGGGAAACTGGTAGAATCCCACCACTGTGGTGTCATCTCTTATGTGACTGTTCCCTTGGCATTGCTTCTTTGCCCAGCCTTTTACATGCCTTCCATGTAACATGGTGGATTGTCAGAGACAAGAGGATTTTAAAACATCTGGTCCTCAGGGCACTTCTGCAAGGGCCTGAATAAACACTTGGTTTCAATTCTTCTTCCTGAATCATGCCACAAGATTCCTCTTTGCAATTAAAGGCAGTCAACAATACATTTAGTGACTATTCAAAGTTACAACAGCACTGGAAAAAAAAGTGACTTACAGCCGTTTTTTCACACTTAAGGTCATTGTGGCATCCCCATGATCACGTGATTAAAATTTGGACCCTTGGCAATTGATTCGTGACCTTTGCAGTGTCCCCAGGGGGTCACGTGAACCCCCTTTCCAATCTTCTGACAAGCAAAGTCAGTGGGGAAGCCAGATTCACTTAACAACTGCGTTAAGGGGTCGTAAAATGGAGCAAAACGAGTGTCTCACTTAGCAACACAAATTTTGGGCTCCATCGTGGTTGTACATCAAGGATCAAAATGAAGCAGGAAGTTGTATCTGGATGTTAAGAGCCAGGATGCACCAAAACGGAGGATCTAGCGTCACTCAAAAGCTCTGTCCAGCCCTGTCCATCTAAGCAGAAATCAGTGGTCAGCGTAGGTCAGTAAGGACTGTCCAAGCATAGTGTGAAGAGCAGCCCAAGAAACAAACTCGGGAATTTATTCCAGATTTAGCGATGGCGGGAACAGATAATAAAGATCTAAAAATTTGTTATGGACATCTCAAAAGCATGTTCTCGAAGATGTAATGCAGACAGTCCTCAACTTATAACTATTTCCTTAGCGGCCGTTGGAGGTGACAACCTACCTAGAACCAGGATTCAGTTCTGAGGATCTCATGGTGTCCCCTTCCTGGGTGGTCATATGGTCTCCCTTCAGTTGCTGGTCAGCACAGCTGCAAGGATGGTCCTTACTTGTGCCCTGCAAACACATGGACCTCTTTTGCTGTGGCTATGCCAAAACCTGGAAGTTATTTCCAGTTTTTGGCAACACTGCCATAGCAAACCGTGGGTTTAACCAGGGGTCCCCAACTTCCAGTCTGTAGACTGGCACAGGCAGTAGTGGGGTTCAAATAATTTAACAACCAGTTCTCTACCCTAATGATTTTTTCCAACAACAACGACTCAGAAAGTTAACAACCAATTCTCCTGAACTGGTGCAAACTGGCTGAATTCCACCGCTGGGCGCGGGGCCTTTGGCATGTCAGAAACTGGATCGTGAAAACAAGCAAAACCCCACAAGTCTGTGGGATGAAGGCAGCACAGGAAACCACGGATCCCCCAGTCCCTGGAAAAACGTCGCTCCATGGAATCTGTTCCTGGCGCCCAAAAGTTTTAATGCGTCCAAACTTTTTGCAAAGAGGGCCAGAGTTGGTGAGGTGAAAATGTGTGGAGCCGACAATTCAGCCTGACATTTTTTTGAACCATTAACATTAAATGGGAAAAACACTGGCCAGTGGGGATGAGTGACAGGCTGAGCCATCGGGGAGAAGAGGCTGTGGACCGTTCAAAATTTGAAAATGGGCCGCAATTGGCCACCAGGCCGGACTTTGGTTTAATGACTGCCGTCCTGATTTAATGACTGGGGGTGGGGGGAAGGGTGTATAATTGGATTGCTCATGAGACTGACCCGATTTACAATTGTCACACAACCTATGGCCGTTATGGCAGGGGTCTTCAAACTTGGTACGTTTAAGACTTGTGGATTTCAGCTCTCAGAATTCCTGAGCTAACATGACTGGAGGAGGAATTCTGGGAGTTGAAGTCCACAAGTCTTAAACGTGCCAAGTTTGAAGACCCCTGCCATAATGGGTAGACTGCATTATCGCCATGTGTCAAGGACTACGTGTATGAAGAGAATCTGAAGAATTTTGAGTTTTGGGCATCAGAATTTTCACTTGCTTAGCCCCATCGGAAGTCGTGTAGGTAGTCCTCGAGTTACGATCACAGTTTAGCCCGAGATTTTCGTTGCTAAGCAGGACTTGTTAAGTGAGCTATGCCCCATTTTACAAATGTAAGCAAATCTCTTCAGTTAGTAAGGGAAACGTGATTGTTAAAGCGAATCCTGCTCCCTAATTAACTTTGCTTGTCAGATGTTGGCTTGGAAGGTCACAAAAGGAGGGTCATGTGACCCTGGGGACACTGCAACCGTCATAAATATGAGTCAGTTGCTAAGGGTCTGAATTTTGATCATGCGACCCTGGGGATGCTACCGGGGTTCTAAGTGTGAAAAATGATCTTAAGTCACTTTTTCCAATGCCGTTGTAACTTCGACAGCCACTAAATGAATTGTTGTAAGTCAAGGACTATCTGTCCTTACATCAACAAGATGAGAGGGGCCATATTAGGACGTCTCAATGTACCCCTATTTCTTTTGAAAGAGAAACTTATATTCGTACGAAAAGCCTAGAAAATGTAGAGACTTACATCCTCATTTTAAGCACAATACAAAAAACAGGGTGAAAATTGTCCATTCTATGATTCTGTGACTTGATTTATCCACCCACGTAGCTTTTCTGGCACGTTTTCCCTGTTTAACCCACAAGCCTGGGATTTACTGGGGTTGCTCCCTGACTATTGGGCAGGGCATGAGTTGAACAATTCAATAAATAAACTGAATTATCAGTCGCCTCTTTGCTTTGGAGACTGCCATGGAGACTAAAAAGTCAATGTTTTGCTTTCTTTTTTTTCAACACCTGGTGTCTTCATGGAGTTTTCCACAGAGTTTTCTTATCGATAAAAAAATTGGTCTTTTCCTTAGCTATCTTCTCCTTTCTATCTTCTGTTTCTCCTTCTTTTCTCCTCCTCCCTGCCTTCTCCTCCTCCCTTATATTTATTTTCTTCTTCTCCTTTTCCTATTTTCTCCTTCTCTATCTCCTCCTCCTCCTCCTTTCCATGAACCCCACACCCTTCTAGCCTTGATGAGGTTATTAAGTTTGGTAATCAAACGTCTGCAAGGAAATAACCAAGCACAAAGAGTAGAAAGGGTCTCACAATCCTTCTTTTTCTCCTGCTGTTGCTCCTCAATTTTCTTCCTATCTTCTCCTCCTTTTCTATTTTTTCCTCCTCTTCCTATCTACTTCACCTCCTCCTATCCCTTTCCCAAGGTCTCCTAATAGGCTGCCATGCAAGCACAGGTAGTCCTTGACTTACGAAAATTCATTTAGTGACTGTTCAAAGTTACAACAGCACTAAAAAAAAGGGGGCATCCCCATGGTTTTGTGATCAAAATTCAAATTCTTGGCCATCGACTCATCTTTACGACAGTTGCAGCGTCCCGGAGTCACACGATCCCCTTTTACGACCTTCTGACAAGCAAAGTCAACAGGGAAGCCCGATTCACTTAACAACCACCACGGTACTATGTAATTATGATTTATGAGAGATGATCCGTTATTTGTTGTTTATATATACCCTCTGGGCTTATGCAAGAGACAAATTCCTTGTGTGTCCAATCACACTTGGCCAATGTAGAATTCTATCTATATATTATATCTATATCCATCCATCTATCCAATCTCTATGTCTCTATTTTTATACTCATCTATATCATGTATAATCCATCTACATCTCTATTTTTATATTTGTCATCTATCATATCTATCATTTATCTCATCATATATCTATCGTTATTTATCTAATCTCTGAATCTCTATTTTTACTTATCTATATCTGTATCTATCTACTTCTATCATCCATCTATCATTTATTTTTATATTTATATCTATCTACTATCTAGCTAATCTATCATCCATCTATTATCTATTTTAATATTTATAGCTATAGCTATCTACTGTCTATCTATTATCTATATAATCTATCATCCATCATCTCTATATTTTTATACTTATCTATATCTTTCTATCTACTGTCTATTTTATCTATCATCCATCTATCATCTATCTCTATTTTTATATTTATCTCTACTGTCTATTATCTATTTATCATCCATCATTATCTCTATTTTTATACATCTACCTCTATCACTATCTATCTGTCTATTATCTATCTAATCTATCATCCATCTCTATATTTATATTTTTCTTTCTACTGTTCATTTTTTCTATCATCCATCTATATCTCTTTTTTTATATTTATCTCTATCTACTGTCTATTATCTATCTGAGTTATCATCCATCATCTGTCTCTATTTTTATACATCTATCTCTATCACTATCAATCATCTACTATTTATTATCTATCTAATCTATCATCCATCTATCTCTATTTTTATATTTTTCTATATCTTTCTATCTCTATCTACTGTCTATCTTATCTATCTATCATCTATCTAACAACTGCAGTGATTCACGTAAAAACTGACAAGAAAAGTCGTAAAATGGGTGAAAGCTCACTTTATAACTCTTTATAACTAAGAACAGAATTTTGGGGCTTGATTGTCATCGTAAGTCAGGGACTACTTTAGCCAGGCCAGACTACCAAAGCTACGGTGAGATTTGCCACCTTCCTCTATCCCCACCCCCTCAAATTATTCCTCCTTCCTATCGGAAATTCAGGGCAGACCTAATTAGTTAGCAAGGCCGTAAATCCAGCCAGACTTTTATCTCACTGGTTGGTTTTGTTTGATTTGTAAAATCAGCGTTGTTCAGGCGGATGGGAGCAGATGGGTAGGAAGAGATATTGCATATGGATCGCAGGTAAGGATGAAAAACTGGGTCACTAATCCAACGGCGTGGCCTCTTTAATAATCCTCCTGAGCGAGAGTCTAAAAATGAGTTCCTTTGCTTATGGAAACCATGACTTCAAAAATAAAATCTACGTAAGCTTTGATCCCACTAAAAGAGGTCAGCCAAAGGATTAATGTGCTCAAAAACATTTTTGTCTCTTGGGCAGGTGCTGAGAATAAACATTGGAGGAGACTTATCGTTAGATTTAACACCGGAGAACACTCAACTCTGTTCTGTGTAACTAATCAATAAAGAGTAAAGAGAATAAAAGTTATGTGTCGCTGCAAGGAAATTGTGTGAGGTTTTTTTTTTTTTCCCTGCAACAAATACAGGTGTTTTTTGTTTTAAATTAAATTTATTTTCCAGGATAAGGATGGTAGAACAGGGGGCGCTGCTCATCCCTGTTACAAAGAGCCAGCGCTGTCCGAAGACGTCTCGGTGGTCATGCGGCCGGCATGACGAAACGCCTTTGAAGGTGCACAGAATGCGGTTCCCTTCCCACCCAAGTGGTCCCTACTTTTCCTAC